TGTGATTTCAGTGGAACAAAGGTTCCTGTACTAATGATAATGCTGCTAACTTCTAGGGCTGTGGGAAACTCTACTGATATGACTAAATACTATTCATTGGCCCAGAATCCTTGGGTTGACATAAATTGACAAGTCCCTGGTGGATTGCCAACTGTGAGAAATCCTGATATGAACAGTGTGAAACGGGGTATGGTTTCAGCAGAATAGACAAGCAGAGGAGGCAATAATGAAAGCTATATAAACTGCTTGTGGACATGTAGCTTGGGCCATTCTTTGGAGGTGAATGTCCTCATTATAAGGAGGCAGTGTATTTGACCAAGGTGAGTGCATGGCTGTGGAGATCATGGCAGAAAGCTGAAAGGAAACTAGGTCAGTATGAGACCAAAGAAGATTGCTTCTCCCAGGAGTCAAGGTACTGACTGATGTGAGGAGGGGACCCTCATGGACACCCATAATCTCCATTAATTTTAATAAATTCTATCAGATTTCCCTCTAAATATAGCAACATAAGGTGTATGCTTTATCAGTGAATAAGAAGTATGCCCAGGAAATTAAATAAATAGGATTACAAAATGTAGTAGAATTCTAATATCAAAGGAAGGGGGAGATGTTTTGTATCCAACATGTATGTTAGGAGAGAGTGTCTGTGGGTGACAGCTTTAGTGTCTGGGTAAAGTCATCTCTGACACGGAAGGAGAAGCGTTTTCAAGGATAATGCCTTTGGCTAGGGTAATGTTGCATAAGGAATTGTCATCACCCAGTAGTGACATCTGATACCACTGTGATGCCATCTAGAATATGGGATTAAGGTACCACTTTCAAGGGGGAACCAACTTAAACTGATATGGGGCTCTAAATAATAAGCCAACAAAAGCCTCAAACCAGTTGTAATTGTCACCAGAATGGGGTACAGGTATAACTGAATGTTTGGAATAGTTTGTATTCAAATTGGATGCACATCAATGTTCTGGAGAGCAATCTGTGGTCAATCGGTCTCAGAGGAGTGTGGCCTCTGTGTGGTCATCAGCTCTTTGGGATCAGATATAAGATTGAAAATGTGT